TGGTGTAAGTACGTGTAAATAATAGATGGGTTAGGAGCGGAATGAAAAATGTAAAATTAGACAAAGACCTGGTATAAATATGCAAGGAGAAGGAACTAGGAGTCAATGACCATTGAAATGCTATACGCAAAAATATAATTGTGTAGGGAATACGAAAACGAACACCAGACAGGTTGAGCATTAGGCACAATGCAGGTTCCCTGGTAATATTGGAAATAGCTACCTTGACCTACGTAATTCATGAATAGGTTGGAAAAAGAGAGAATCCGTAGAACTGGAAATATCGACTGCTCATGGCCGACCATCTTTCCGTTTGAGATGCACATATTAGTGATGCACATTAGTGCTATGTAAGGATTTTTGACTGTATCAACCTCGCAGATATTCGATGACTTCAATATCAAACAAACTTCCAGTTCAAACAATTATGGAATGAAGAACCATTTTCAAAAGCAAAGAATCGTAATGTAGTACTAGTGTGTTAATCACGAGGTAGAAGGAATGGGTTCTGGTAAAATATTAAGGCTGCTGAGATATTACCATGACGTGACTAAAACAAAATTGTAGCACGAAGTATTGCAACAGTCCGAGATGTACTAGATATTGATCAAGAAAGACTGCTAAATTAAGGTGGTGATTGAATATTGTTTCCGACCACATCAATGGTTATGAGTGCACCCGTTTGTGTAGTGCATGTTTTTTGGTCCGAATGCTTGCGGTGTCCCACTCACGCTGGTGCTGACCCCACGTTGGCTTGCGGGAGGTTTCTCTTTCTTAGTATCTCCCCCGCGTGGCACCACCCCAACCGGAAAAAAATTATGGTCCCGACAGATCTATTTCTGATAGAGTTGGAGCGTGTAAATGTGTGTGGGTGTAAGGGAAAAGGATAAACAAGGAAGGGGAAGGGAAGATCGTGCGCGGCCCATAGCCGTTTTGTTAGAACTCCGCTATCCACCTCGTATTGATCGGATAAGCCGAGGAAAACAGCCGATCAGAGCAGTCGGTCGGTAGAATTCTTCTGACAGCAACTGATTCGATCTAGGTATCTAGGTAGTGTCAATCATCCGCCACAGTGTGGGCTGAAACCCTAGAACCGGTCTTTGAAGTCAGTCGCTACAAAGAGCGGGAACACAACGTTTGAGCTAAATCAACCAGTGTGTTCCAATGGCACAATTTAAGAATTCAGTTCAATAAAGCATAAAATCATTTGATTCATTCCTTTTCATTTACTTTTTCTTGCGTACAGTTCTCTTCTACTCTAGATCATTATTACGTATGGCAATTTTTTCACTATTATCCATGTTTCATTAAATTCTCATGAATCGCGTTTGGGTCTAGTTATACGATTTTCGTTTTGTAAATTCGATTCTTACCTACTGCTTCATTTTCACTTCACATCTACACAGAACTTGGAGGCGAGCCAGATCCCTAGCCCGGGTTTTACTAGAGGAGTTCAAGGACGAAAGTAGATGCATGGCGAGAGAGATAAGAAGCCGTGCTTGTGTTTCCATTCCGAGACGAATTCCCGAAGAGAAGGGAGAAAAGCATGAAATAAACAGCCGCTTGCAAAAGTAAAGCATTAGAAGAAAAACAGGGAGTGTGCAGAGTGAGTGCGAAGAAAAACACGCCAAAGCACTAGAGGAGTGGAGACGGCCCGTTAACCGTGTTTTGACGCAGACAACAAGCTCAAGGGGTCAGGAGATCGCGTGGTGCAGTGCAGCAGGGAAGTGTCGGTGAGAGTAGTTTAGCACACCTTTGTGCCGGCAAGTGGAGGTGAGTACGGATGTATGCAGACGAGTGCCGTAAGTGCAGGTGGGGACGACCGCATGCTGCAATGTGGAGGTGAGTGCATGTGTGACAGGGTAGGTGTAGGTGAGTGCAGGTGGGCAAAACCTCCTACCGGCGAGTGCAGGTACGAGTGCAGGCGAGCTAGATCCCTAGCCCGGGTTTTACTAGAGGAGTTCAAGGACGAAAGTAGATGCATGGCCCGTGATCGGACACTCTGACCATAGTGCAGTTGAGTGTATGTGAATTGAGGTGCATTTGCAGCGGGGATAGGCGTGCAATTACGTGCAGCGCAAGTGAGCCCGGACTCGCTACCGCACGTCACCCAAGCCGTTGTCGCTCGCCTTACCTTAGTGCAGTTGAGAGATGTGAATAGAGATGCGTGCAAGCGGACTATAGGCGTGCAATTCAGTGCAGCGAGTGGCGGGGGGCGTACCGGACTCACCAGCCGTTGGTCGCTCGCCGTCACCTTATGCAGTTGAGAGTATGTGAATAGAGATGCGTTGAAGCGACTTTAGGCGTGCAATTAGGCAGGGCGAGCTGGCCGGGGTTAGCCGTGCGTACCGGACTCACCAGCCGTGTCGATCGCCCTTGAGCTGTGCCGTTGAGTGTATGTGAAAGAGAGTGCTGTGCAGCGCTATAGGCGTGCAATTAGTGCAGACGGTGGGCGGGTGCTACCGACTCACCAGCCTGTCGATACGCCTCTGCACTAGTGCAGTGAGAGTATGTGAATAGATATGCGTGCAGCGCGACTATAGCGTGCAATTAGTCAGGCGATGTGCCGGGTGCGTAACCTGACTCACCCACCGTGGTCGACTCGCCTTGACCTAGTGCAGTGAAGTATGTGAATAGGAGATGCGTGCAGGCGACGATAGGCCGTGCAATAGTGCAGGCGATAGGCCGGGGTGCGTACCGGACTCACCAGCCGTGGTCGCTCGCCTTACCTTAGTGCAGTTGAGAGAGTGCATAGAGATGCGTGCAGCTACTATAGGCGTTGAATTAGTGCAGGCGATGGCCGGGGTGCGTTCGCACTTCCACCACCGTGCGTCGCCGCCTTGACCTTAGTGCAGTTAGAGTATGTGAATAAGCATGCTTGCAGCGACTATAGGCGTGCATTACTGCAGGCGATGCCTGGTGCGACCGGACTCCACCAGCCTTGTCGCTCGCCTGGACCCTTAGTGCAGTTAGAGTATGTGAATAGAGATGCGGCAGGGACTTATAGGCAGTGCAATATACGTGCAGGCGAGTGGCCGAGGTGCCGTACCGGACCTCACCAGCCTTGGTCGATCGCCTTGAGCTTGGTGCGTTGAGTGTATGTGAAGAGATGTGACGTGCAGGCGACTATGCGTGCAATTACGTGCAGACGAGTGGCGGTGCCGTACCGGATTACAGCGTCGGGTTGCGCCATATGCCTTAGTGCAGAAGTGTATGGTGGATAGAGTTGCGTGCAAGCGGACTCATAGACATGCAATTAATTCAGACGAGTTCTCGGGTGCTACGGCCGTTGAATCGGACGCCTAGACCTTTAATGCAAGTTGAGAGTATGTGAAATTAAAGGTGAGTGCAGGCAAGCATAGGCGGGTGAAAGGCGTGCAATTAGTCGCGGCGGTGGCCGGGGTGCGTTACCGGAACTCCCGCCGTGGCGCGTCGCCTTGACCTTAGTGCAGTTGAGAGTATCTGTGAATAGAAGATGCGTGCAGGCACCTTTAGCGTGCCAATTAGTGCAGGCGATGTGGCCGGGGGTGCGTAACGCGTCACCAGCCGTTGGTCGCTCGCCTCTGACCTTATTTCGGCAGTTGAGAGTATGGAATAGAGAGTGCGTGCAGGGCGACTATAGCGTGCAATTAGTGCAGGCGAGTGGCCGGCGGTGCGTACCGGACTCACCAGCCGTCGTTCGATCGCCTTGACCTTAGATGCAAGTGAGAGTATTGAATAGAGATGCGGGCAGCGCGACTTAGCGTGCAAATTAGTGCAGGCGAGTGGCCGGGGTGGCTACCGGGACTCACCAGCCGTGGTCGATCGCCTTGAGCTTGGTGCAGTTGAGTGTATTAGAGAGGTGCTGTGCAGCGACATATAGGCGTGCAATTTACGTCAGCGCGAGTGGCCGGGGTGCGTCCGACTCACAGCCGTGGTCGATCGCCTGGACCTGTAGCTCCAGTTGGAGTATATGTGAATAGAGATGCGTGCAGGCACCTAATAGCATGCAATTATGGCAGCGACGTGGCCGGGGTGCGTCCGGACTCACCAGCCGTGGTCGATCGCCTTGACCTTAGTTGCAGTGAGAGTATCGTGAATAAATGCGTGCAGGCGACTATAGGCGTGCAATTTAGTGCAGGCGAGTGGCCGGGGTGCGTACCGGACTCACAGCCTTGGTCCGGCTCGCCTGACCTTAGCATGAGAGTATGTGAATAGGAGATGCGTGCAGCGAACTGATAGGCGTGCAATTAGTGCACGCAGTGTCCGGGTGCGATACGACTCACACCGGGTCGATCGCCTTGAGCTTGTGTTGCAGTTGCAGTGTATTTGTGAAGAGAGGTGCGTGCAGGCGATATAAGGCGTGCAATTAGGCAGACGGAGTGGCGGTGTTACCCGACTCACCAGCCGTGTCGCATCGCCTTGACCTTAGTGCAGTTGAGAGAGTATAGGAATAAGAATGCGTGCAGACGACTATAGCGTGCAATTAGTGCAGGCGATTGGCCGGGTGCGTACCGGACTCACCAGCCGTGTCGCTTTTTTTTGTCTTTTTTTATTTTTTTTTTTCGGGGCCTGACCCTAGGCAGTTAGAGTATTGTGAAATAGAGATCGTGCAGGGACTATAGGCTGCAATTAGTGCACCGATGGCCGGGGTGGCTTACCGACTCACCAGCCGTGGTTCGATCCTGAGTTGGCTGCCATGAGATGTAGTGAAGAGAGGTGCTGCAGCGACATAGGCGTGCAATTAGTGCAGACGAGGTGGCGGGGCATACCTTGGATTTACGGCCGTGGGCTGTGGCGCCATGACCTTAGTAGCAGTTAAGTGTATGTTGGATAGAGTGCGTGCAAGCGACTATAGACATGCAATTATCAGACGAGGTCTCGGTGCGTACCGGCCTGTCGGAGCGCCTAGACTAGCTGCAGTGAGAGTATGTGAATAAAGGTGAGTGCAGGCAAGCATAGGCGGGTGAAGGCGTGCAATTAGTGCAGGCGAGTGGCCGGGGTGCGTACCGGACTCACCAGCCGTGGTCGCTGGCCTTGAGCTTGGTGACGGCGGCGAGGTTGGCGGCGCCGAGGGCGAGCAGCAGGAGGCCGATGGCCACCGACTTGACGGCCAGCGCGATGAGCACGCCCAGCAGCGTCGTGATGACGCCCAGCTTGTACACGATGGGCAGCAGCAGCAGCAGGCGCTTGCGCGGGCCGCCGAAGGTGCGGGCCGCCCGCGCGCCAGCCCCCGCCTCCTCCACCTCCGCCTCCGCCGCGTCGGACGCGCTCGCGTTCATCGCCGCAGCTGCCTCCGGCTCTGCAGCACACGACAAAAGGCTTGCCACGCACGCTTCGCGATGCACAAAATAAACTGCAGCTTTTTAAATTATATTCACCACGGTCAGTTGCTATTAATAACCAGGCGCTCGGATTCTGATGACTTAAAAATTCTTTGAAAATGAGCTATAAAATGACGAAAAAATAAGAGGAAAATTATCCATGAAATGACTTAAAATAACGGGAAACGACCTATTTTATTTAAATACTAAAAACATTGTATAAAATGTTTATTTGTTCAACGAATTTTACAATTTAAAGTAAAATTTAGTAACAATGTATAAAAATATAATTAAATTAAAGTCTTTATTTTAGGAGGAAATGTAATCATTAGATCCGATTTTCCAACCGTTAGTTTTGAAAGGTCGAAGAAGTTATCAAGTTATCGAAGATCCGTGTAATTTTGAGAGTTTGGAAAACAGAGTCCAATGTAGTTACGAATGTCCTCGTGAACGTGAATTGATTACACAGTAATAATTTTGTTTTAGTTGGTTATTGTATATTCATCTTCACGAACAAATAACATGAAAAGGAAACACAATGCGTCAAAATGAGAAAAATCACATAAAGATAAAGAAAGTAAACATTGAAAATGGCAAAAAATGATAAAAATGGTCCGATAACAATCATTTGTCTATTTCTATCATCTGTTTGTCGTGATAAACATTTACATGTCAGCTACATCAAGAATGTACCAATCAAAAGATGGCATGTCATCAGAATCCGAACCCTATACACACAATTCAATGACATTACATAATTTATGTCATTTTTTATGTTATATCCATTAAATATTTTAAAACAAATTTAGAAAAACGGTCAATTATATTATTTCATTTTATTAATATTTCTTGAATTATTAAATGTTCACATTCTTATCGCCGTTTCGACACCTGGAACTTACCCTCATTTTTCAAGACCTAGGGTTAATTTTGAGATGATACAGATTTTCTAAGTTCGTGGTCAAAAGGTTATGTTCGTTGACTACAAAATTCACATAAAATGGCCTTTTTTTAATTGAGAAATGAAATGGCAAGTTAAACTTTTTTAGTTTAGTTAGAAATGGCGAGTTAAAAAATAAAAACAAGTATTAGTTGTGTTAGGTACAAGTATATTTTATGTTTTGCAAGACTGGCCTTCTCAGCAATATTTTTGAAGAGGTTATGTAAGTCCTTGAAGCGTAGAATAATAAATGCATTTAATCGCAAAAATGTAAAATAGTGCAGGGCGTCGCGAACAGTCGCGAAAAGGCTCTTTTCTCACTTACCACCCGTGTGTAGGAAATCTCTTCCTCAAGGCCAAGAGAAGAACATAAGTGCAAAGATATTGCTTCCACCCTTAGTCTGCTTTCTCCGAAAGAAAACCAAACGAAATATCAAAGAGACAAGCAAATCTGTAGTACTACGTAGTTACAAATGTCTGTCAAGAAAAACGTGTAATGTCGTTTCGCATCTACTAGAGTGCTTGGCAGAGAATCTGCAAATAAGTCGGAAAATCACGATTAGCATTCATTCTAAACAACATCAGTTTGCCTATTAACGACCACTCACTGTCAAACTGCAAGGCCGTTCCGTTGGCCCGTGCGCTGACGTGCTGGTCGCCGTGGGGCGAGGCGCTCGAAGAGGCGAAGGCGACGGCGTCAGCGCCGCCCGTGGCGAGGGCAAGGCCAAGGCCAAGGTCAAGGGCGACGGCGGCCACCAGGGCCAGCGCTGTGGGCCTCGCCTTCATCGTGGTACACCTGGAACAGCAGAGGTGAGTTAGAATAGACCCTTCTGCAACAAGTCCATGTGAACACTTTATTTCACAAACAAAGTACGTCAGTATTGTGCACTTTTGTTTCGGTTCGGTGATTTAATGCAATCAAATTAATTGTCGGGAAAAATAGTGTAACGTATTAGCCAGCGTGCCTCGTGGCATCTATTTGGGGACGCTTGGCACAGGATTAGCCTCGCCACAGGAAGAAGGGTTTTTCCGTAAAGGCATGAACGCGTAAACGGGAGACACAAGGTTTTGGCGTCTTCCGGCTTATAGATGCTTTTCACTGTTATTACAAGCGAGGCGGTGGCGTGACGTAGTAGGTCACGTGGGCCTTGCCTATATAACAGAGTGTACAGAGCCAGTGGGTGGGTTCTGGAGACAGCGGGAGAACCTCGTGCGTGTGCACAAAACTTGGCGCCACGACGGTGCATATGCGAGCCAGGCTCGCGAGGCTCGAGTCACTAGTTGACGAAGCCTGCGGACTTTAGGTCCTTGGGTGACTGCGGTCACGGGGGAGCGATGCTGTGTGCGTGCTCCGAGGTGAAGAGTGGTTGAGTGCCACGATTCACGCCGATTCTCAATCGGATAAGATCGCTCCTGCGATCGAGGCAAACCAGCCGTTGGTGCGCCAGAACGGACTTTGTGTCCCAGCGTGACATCCGGTCACGGAAGCTAGGCTTTGTGCGCGCTTCAAAAGTAGGAGTGGCGAATGCCACAATCAAAATCATCTTCAATCGGGTTTGGATCGCTCCCGCAATCAGGGGATAGTAGGTCTATCAGAGCTAGGATGTAAGTAGATTATTAAGTGTATATATGTGTTTTGTTTTCTTTGTTAATAAATATATTGTTATACGCATAACTATACATAAAGCTCTGTGTCTGTGGTCGCTGTGAGTATCCATGACGTCACAATAGATTACGTACGCAGTTGAATAGATTAATAACAACCTTCTCAAGAGTTTGGAGGTTAAATTTCAAAACCTTCAAATGTGGACTTCAAAATTTCAACATTTCGAACTTGTTTTCTGCACTACCCCCGCCGTAAAAATATCTGTGTTGGAACAGATGTACGTCTTCCTGGCTTTTATTTATGTATCAGTTCCTCTTTCAGCACTAATGAATGGAAGCTACTACTTACTTTCATTGTTTGATTGGGAAGTATTACTTGCGGTACGCGTACCGCAAAGAATATTTCGTTCACCAATTACTCACTTTGTCTTCTAACTTTCTTAAAGAAATGTTGAACGGGGTTTGTTTCCGAAACTTCCTCGAATGCAATCTTCACAATAGTCAATAAACTAAATAAATAATAATTCGAATGTTAAGATGAATTTTCGGATATTTTATTAAAAACTTGCCTCTATGCACCCACATTTTCAGTGCTTCTTTATGTATAGGGATATCCAAATATTTTCACAACACCAAGAATTAAGCCACTTTTTAAAAAGGGCTACAAAAATTAAATTAAAAATAATCGGTCCTATTTTGTCAGTTTTCTCCAAAATATTAGAGAGGCTTTTGTACACATGAATGGAAATCTTTCTCAGGTGAAACAAAGAGTATTCAGACTATCAATATGGACTAAGAAAACCAAATTGTGTAGAATCTGTCATCCCCCTGTTTTAGAGGCATTCCTTCAACAATGCATCAAAATGAAGTTCCCATTTGGACATATTTAGATTTTTAAAATTTTTGATATCATTGACCAGATAATTTTGCTCTCAAAATTACTTTCATATTAAATATCGTGGTATTTCCGTAGATGGAATATCCTCGTACCTTAAACATGCAAGAATTAGAAATCCTGTACTGGTACGAAATACCATTATTAATTAACAATAACCATAAAATTAACAGTATAAGTTTATGTTAATCTCTCTCCCTCACACAAGAACAATTGCCTTACTTAAGCGACTAATGTTACACGGAATGAAGGAAAAAGCGTTCAAATGATTTGTTCTTTATTCTTACATTTACGGTCATTAATAATCTACCAACCCGTTTAATGTGCGAATAAACCGGTGAATTCACTAAATAGTCATATTTCGGACATGATCTTAACGTATACAGTTGTTACAGAAATGGAGAATATTGATTGCCAAATGATCGGACGACCATTGAAGTTATAAACATTCGTCCGAAACCCAGAAGGCCGTGGTTGCACAGCATTGTAGAGGAGCAGTGGCATCGTGGGAGACGACAATGGCGACCCCCGGACAGTGCAGCAGACACACGTACTTACGTACTTCAAGAAACGTTTACACAGGGACAGCTAGATGACCGACAGTCTACAAGACAGTACTTAGCGTTGTGTAAACACTTCGACAGCGCGGAAGATAGTTCGTATGATGTCCCGTCACACTTGCCGGGCGCTCTTCAAGTTTTGAGACACGACAGTAGACACTGAATGGAGAGAATAGTCAGCTATCCACGTGAAAACGCGCATCGCAGAGCATACGACAGGGATGTGTTTGTCATGGGCTTGTAATGAGTAGTCCAGCGGATTAATTTCCTGCCTACCCCCATTACGCGCGCTTTCGCAGCTCTGGCGGGCAGAGGTGCGGCTCTTAAATGCAGCATGCCCGCGGAAGCATGCATCGTGTAGGCCTTCATTGGAGGAATCATTACTCTAACGGAAGTGAATAAGAAATGAATGGGTCGGGAAAACTATGCTTCTCCCCATTTAATCAATTTTTGTAAGCCAGAGAAATACTTATTTGCAAATCAAGTCATGTGTACGCATCTTACTGTTTTTATACACTATGAATGGAATAGTAAGTGTATTGATCCATTGTACATAACGATACGTTTGTGTCCTTTTGTACATAGTTTGATTATAATGATTGTATTTTTTGTTCATTCTCATAGCTTTATTTTGCTTATGTAAAATGAGAGTTAGTACGATATGACCCCAACTCCGTGAAAATGGGCAGCAGCTGCAGTTCTCTGCTCGAGAATGAAGTGGGCTCCAAACAATTAGCACAAAATACCCATTAAAGTCGTCATGCATAACCACATTTGTAGGTATGTTGTTAGAAGTCTCACACAGAGTAGTTTTTTAATTAAAGAGCGCTGCATACATAAATTTTGGTAAGTTGTGAGATTTATTTAGCACTGTATATTTTCACACAAAAAAATTGTTGTACATTTTTAAAGGGTGCATGTTTTGTCTCTGGATATAATTAAAGGACAAAAGTGGTTTGAGAATGGGAAATGTTGAAATAGACTTTTCAGAACAAAGGCTATTTTAATGGGACCAAATCTCTAGAAAGGTCTTTTCCTCAATAACAGTTATAGTTGGCATTTCATTGAGACTTATAACTGTGACCTTTTATCTACCACTACACCATAGCTGCCAGTTTCCTAAGTATTACTTAAATATTCCTAAGCATTACAAAAAACGAAGCATGCGTTTCCAGCATGCTTCGTCCCTCATACAGGTCCTTAGTGTCTTCAATACATGTGTGTGTGTGTGTGTGTGTGTGTGTGTGTGTGTGCAATGCAAATAATATTTCAGATATTCTAAGTAATTTTGTAACAACTAGTAGCCCATCCAGCAAACATTCTGATGGCCAAACTATACAAAATGCTTTTTCCAAAAAGTAGCACGATATTACTCAAGAACAACAAATAAAGTACTCTAACACTGCAACAAATTAAATATATTTACAAAACTCGTTTCCGTCTTAAAAGAACATAATATATTAAACATGCAAATACAGCCCAACACTTTTTTTATGACAGTCATATCAACAAATATATAACGATATATAACGTAACACGTTGATAGCAAAATAGCTGGCGGCCTCTTCCTTCGATCCTTGCTGCCGTAGAACATCAGCTATGTTGCAAAAAGTCATCCACAGAGTATTCAGCCAGTACGCGCAGTGTAATAAAAGGTGGAATAACAATATTTGCACTCTTCAGTCAAAATTGAAATTGTTTTATTGTTTTTATATTCATTCCGAGATCCTCGGTATTTAACAAAACGAGGCACCTCTCACACGGTCAAAGGCTGTATAGTTTTCTTTTAATTCCTGCACGTAATGGAAATTAGTAACATAGATACATTTTTGATTGTCGGTCAGCAAATCCCAAAAACAGCGGTTAAGTGATAATTTGCTATTGCTTTAACTTATGTATAACGTACACTCATTTGGAGATGTGTTATAGTGATTTTGTTTCTGAATAGCAGTCAGAGTGTACATCCGGTTTCAAGCTTTGGGCATTCGTGCTCCACATTTCTTTTAGGAATCAGTACCGTGAGCGTGCAGAACTCTCGGAGTTCTCTTAGATATTTATTATTTATTATTAGATATTCTAATGCTCGATATGCTCTACATCGCTCAGTCCATTTAACTCACTACTACTCTAGTCAACGTAGGTTTCATCTGCAAAAAGATTCCCTTGAGCTGAACTGTCGGTAAGACCTTTGTCCTGATGTTTTATAAAAGGGGTGAAAGTTACGACCGATAGGACATGTTCGTTGTAAAATATCAGAGGTTAAACGCCAGTAAATTGATCAAATGTCACGAAATTTGCGAAAAATCGTTTTTCGTAATAATCCTGGTGTTTATGAATTTTCTGATAAATATCTTTTTTTACAGGATTTGGAGATGTAAAATATTCTACAAAATTTGTTCTAAATAAATTGTTGTGCGACTTAGTTTTCGAGATATTTAAAGTTACAAATATGCAAGATATCGTTTTTACACATCGCCTTCAATTTGCGACTCTTCTTGTTCAATGGATGTCTCATTCTGATTCTTCTGTGCTAAAAGATCGATTAAATTAACATCGTGTTGCTCTGAAAGAACCATCTGATTCTGAAATTGGCTTAGATGCGTTGAGACTACACTGTCCATGGCAATATACGTAACGACTAAGGGGCGGATTTTGATGACCTAAAAAATTGCCAAAATGACCAATAAAATTCTCCTAAAACGTTTTAAAAATGCCCTAAAACAAAG